AATCCTCCTTTAAGAGTTTTAATTTCTTCATTAGTTTGAAACCTGCTGAACCTTCCACCTGATAAAAATTCCATTTCTGTTCTATGATTCCAGAAAATTCGGATGACCCATCCACATGCTCTCAAATCTGAAAGGTTTAGGCCCTTTTAATCTTACAAACTCCCTCAGTAGGATCCACTTATGATCTGAAAAAGAAAAAGCAATTGTTTCTTGAATTAAATTCTCAAACATGATTTCCCATTCCTGGTTGCACAGAAACCTATCTAATCTTTCTCAGAATAGGGGGATCTTGTCCATTTGACCATGTAAAAATGGAACCCACCAGACCTGGTTCTTCCAACTTATTCCTCCAAATAAAATCTCCAAATTCCCTAGAAGCCCCTGACCATCTTCCATCTCCCCTGTTTTCCTAACTACATTAAAATCCCCCCAATCAGCCAAGGAGCCACCCCTATCTCATGAACCTCTTCCAACTCCTCCCACAGCCTCCCCCTTTCCCTATCTTGATTTGGGCCATAAACATTTGACACCAATACCTGAATACTAGAAGAAACATGCTCTAGCACCACTAAGATGGAGGACTTAACCTGACCCTCAACGAGCATGCTCTAGCACCACTAAGATGGAGGACTTAACCTGACTCTCAACGAGCATTAACAGGCCAGAATCCCAGATTGTAATCAGACCTCCAGACAAACCATCAGCCCCTTTGAAAACCCAGTCTTCTTCTCTCTCTCTCTCTCTCTCTTTTCAGACCCCTTTCTCCCCTGAATCCTTTGTCTGTAAATCCTTTTTCTTTACCTCACCTTTCCTCCTTTCTTACTCCACTTCTTTAAAAGCTTCCCTCAACTTCTTCGCAATCGTCATCCTCCTGTTGCCCGTCTTCCATCGACAGAATTATCAGGTCCCCCTGACTCTTTCCAAAAGTCCTCAACCTCCTTCGCTGACTGTACCGCCTTTTGCTGCTCTATGCGCGAATTCTTCTTTCTTTTTCCTTCTATTCTTTTTTTCTTCACGTCTTTCCCTGACAAAGGTCTCAGACTAGGTCCATTAGTTTCCAAGGTAACTACCGCTCGAACTTTATCAGCTTCTGGGACTTCCTTTGATTCCTCTTCGTTGTTGTAAATGTACTTAGTTGTATAGCACACAAAACCATCACGTGAGATCCGTTATCCAATGTGGCCGATGGCTCGAATTAACTTTCTTGTCGGTTCCTGCATCTCCTTAACTTCCTGCGTCTCCTTCTCTTTAGACTTTTCTTCCCTTCTTCCTCTTTTGAAGCTTTTCAACTTCCCCTTCTCATTAACTCGACTTAACTCCTTTTTATGTCTTGTTTCCAAAACTGCTCCTGCCCATCCTTTCTGTGTCTTTCCCGTCCCTGACTTGTCCCTGAACTCGACTTAAGCCATTTTTACAAGTCTTTTTTTTCCAAAACTGCCCCTACCCAGACTTTTTTGTGTCTTTCCTGTCCCTGACTTGTCCCCGATCTCACGCTTCACGGCTTCAGTTTCGTCATCTTCCTTCCGCCCCTCCCTTCCTTGCTCTGTCCCTTCATCTACCACACCTCCCTGCCGACCAACTCTGCCACTGGAAGCCTTTCTTCTTTCTTTTCTTCTAGTCGCCAAATCTTGGCCCCTCTTCGTAAGTTCTTCTCCCGATCTCTCCCCTATCTCTCCCTGCTACTGCAATTCTTAGTTGGAACTTTTCTTCCATGTAGAACAGGTCCTGCAGCGTCGGAATCTTCATCGCATTGTCAGTTTCAATCAGGATTCTGGCGAACTGTAACTGCTCCCAGCGGCGGTTCCTATCATCAGAACTTCTGAATTTGCCTACTGCATTTCCTATAGCTTTGAACGTCTCTGTACTCCATGTGTGTAGCGGCACACCGTAAACATCAATCAATCTAAGTTTGTATCGTCCGTAAGCTTCACCATCTCTGGACTCTGGCGTCCATTTCTCCAACCAAACCGAGTTTGCTCCGCCCCTCTCACAATAAAGAACTTCCGCATCCCTTCTTGTAAAACTGAACAAAAACTGCCCTGCTCCTAGCCTTCTTACTTCTTCGAAACCCACACCATACCATTTTGACCAAGCCCAATCTTCACTTCTCTTATATCCGGATCCGCCTCTATAAACCTTCCCACCAAGCACCGCTGCAGAAACTCCAACCTCTCCTTTAACTTCCCATCGTTCCTCACCACGACTCCTCTATCTGCAATTCCTCTTCTTCCTACTTCAGCAGCTCCCATATCTGTATGGTTCCTCACAACCCCAACACCTGCATGGTTCTACGCTACCATTATATCCTTGACTACCTTATAATCCGGAAGAGCAAATATGCCTTCAAGTCAGAGTACCAGCTTGTTAACTAGAAGGCATGGATAACGAGCTGGTAATGGCTCCTGGCTGAAATTCTGGTTGGCTTTTTGGTGATGGGAATAGACAGCAGTTGATCCCATTTCTTTTCTAGATGCAATTGCTGTAAGGATCCACACATTGAGGACCTCGACCACCTAGTTTTTAGAGGAGTGTAAGCTCGAAAGCTATGGAAGCTTTTTTTCTCTCAAGCTTGTCATTCCTTTGATAGATGGGTAATCAATCCAGTAGTGCTTCAGCAGATGGATGGCTTTCTTCTCTGCAAAAAATAACAATTGGAGTATGGTTGCTAAGTCTGTACCCCTAATTATTCTTTGGGAGGTTTGGAGGGAGAGAAACCTAAGGAGGGTGGAGAATAGAATCTCTTCAGCTTCGTATGTTATATCTCAAGTGGAAGTGGAAGGCTGGTTGCATTCTATCATTTGGCTGTCTCTTTTTCCCATGGAGAAAAGTATGATTGATAAGGCCCAATTAAAGGGGCTTGGCATTAATGGTGTAGGTAGAAAAGATCAAAATATTCAGCTGGTTCTTACGACCCCCTCCCGGTGATATGGTTATACCTTACACTAGCGGTGCTTCACATGATAACGGATAACCCAGCTTTAAGTGGCAGAGGTGGCATTTTACGTGACTGTCAACTTAATTTTCTTGCTGGCTTCTCTCACTTCTATTAAGTTAGGATGAATTTAGATGCTGAGGCTTTGACTTTATATGGTGGGATTTGCCTAATAGTTCCTTTGGAGTACACCAATTTGGGCATGCATATAGACTCCAAAGTGCCATTAGACATTGTGTATGCCCGTGGTGATTATGGTACCTACTGGACAATATCATCACTTTGCTTAGCAGTGTATCTTGGTGGATAGAGCACATTTTCCAGGAAGGGAACTCGGTGGCCAACTTTCTTGCTAACATTGCCTACGAAACTTCTAGTAGTTTGGAGTATCATAAGCAGCAAATCTTCATGATTCCGTGATTCTTTCCCTTCAAAATGACAGGAATAGACTATCCTTCCTCAGGGTCAAGTAGCTTTTGTTCTTTTTTAGGGAAATGCCTGACCTTTGACTTGTTATTTTATGAGCTGGAATCCCTTTTGTATAGCTTTCCAGAGGACCAGAGGGGTAAGGTTTGTATGCCCCCCAGGACCCTATGCTATTTTTTTGATATTAATAAAATTCACAGTGGCCACCCCTCCACCGGAAGAAAAGTTTGGGAAAAAAAAAAGAGCACGTCTAAAAAAAATAAATAGACAAACTCAACCAACAAAGATGCAAATGTCAGAGACAGAGAGAGAGAGAGAATGAAAATGCAAATTATATTATATGAATCATCTCAAAGGTATAACTGCAAAATCCTCATTGTCATCATCATCATCTAAGCCTTGTCTCAACAATATGGGACTGACTACAAGAATACTGTTTCGCCATTGCATGCTGTTCAGTGCCATATCCATCATCAAATTATGAGCACTTAAATCATCGCCAAAGGTATAACAGAAAAATGTAGGCAAATAATCCAGATGAAAAGAGGTTAAAATGCAAACTACGAAATAGATGAAAGCAAATCCTCGCCTGGTATCTTTTTGAGGTTCAGAAAGAAGTTAGCTGGATTGAAAAATTGTTTAAAGAATTCAAGATCACCACAGCTTGTTTTTGATTCTTGGATTTTAGATTTGAACAACACATTATTTATATTCCTATTTTTTTGACAAGTACCTTTTGTTACAGCTGAACATACTCCATGATAATCTATATGTACGATCTCCATACAGATAAGAGATCGTTTCTCCTCTTACCAATATAATTACACTTCAGCCAAAAGAAAAAAAGGCCAAGATTATTATTGGAGACAAATTGGAGAATTCATGACAGGATTGTGGCAAGGGAGACATGCATATGCATGAATAATGTGTTGCAGCATAAATATGCCAGCTTAACAATACACAGCCAAAGAAAAAGTTTTTACTTTGTTTCAAATATAGCACAAATAAATGTTGTTTATAACAAATACATATTAGATGGCAAGAGCCTGAGAGGAACATAATTTTCAATGATGAATATTTTTTATTTAATTTTGCAAGTTGTTCCGGAAAGGAACTTAAATTCCTAGTCACAAAGAAGGAGAGTTTCTAGCAACAGGAACCAACCAATACAAAATCTCAATCAAACTGAACTTACAAGGTGCTGCATCTAATCTAACACCAATTTTCCAATCCATTAGGGAGTAGGGAATGATAGAAAATTAAGCAAATGTAATTTAAACCAAGTATAATCCAAAAGTTGGAAGAAAAGGAAACAAGAAGAAGCAATTAAAATTATGTGAACATTAAATTGAAAAGAAAAGCACCAGCTAGACAAATTTACAGCAAGAATTAGTTTATCCATCTCACTAAAACAAGGCATATTATGTTCACATAACATTTAGAAAGTTATATACATATAAATAAGTATTAGAAAAACATAAAGGAGCAAAATTAAAAGATTATTATGTGAATCTTTTTGTCACACTGATGTTTCTTCACCTCAAAAGTAGTAGGAACAAGTACATATTAAACTGAAACATTGGGAAATGTACAGGCATAAAATGAACAAGTTTTTTCTTAAAGAAAAGCAAATGTTACCTACTTTGAACAAGATGGAAAGCGAGATGAGAGCTTCAAAAGAGCAATCAGAGACATTGCCCTACTGGTAATATCTGATGTATGATGCTTCATGACAATCTCTAAGACATCCACCACATCAAATTCTGTTACCTGATACGGAAAGCTCAAGTTGGTTATCCATTTCCAGATAAATGTATACCTCAAAGCAAACATGGAAAAAAGGGTAGTCCAATGAAACAGAGTGCTCATGCATGACAATGGCACCCCCAGCTTGAATGCTTTCCTAACAGAAAACATGGCTCACTTTTTTGCAGGGATTAATGATTTTCAAAAGAAAATTAAAGAAAAAATTCATTAAAACAAAAAAAGAAAGTACATAGAACGAAGGTGATAAGGCATCACCCAAGAGAAGAAAGAAAACCCCCAAAACATCAACTTCACCTATACCACAGCCTCACTTCTGGATCCTGATACAAAACATAAATACCACTCACTCCTAAGCCTGCCTTAAGGCTGTGTTTGGTTTGAATGAAAAAGTAGGGAAAGGAAGGGAAAGGCAGGGAAATCTATACAAGGTTTGTAAAGGTTTCCCTACATTTCCCTTTCTTTCCCTACCTTTTCCTTCAAACCAAACATAACCTAAGAGATCTAGAAATACCCCCTACTACTTGGCCCAACTTCCAGCTCGTCACCACAGCAGCTTTCATCATCAATTAACACATTTCCCTTACTTTTACTATTAGCCCATTCCATGATAGCTCTTCTAGCAAACCCCTTGCCACCTATAAAGGAAAGATCCAACAGTTTACCAAATTGAACCTCCTTATCAATTCAAAACTCCAAATCCACTTTTTTCTTCTCTTAACTCGAACACCCGAAACTTGCATCAAAAGTCTCTGGTTTCTCCTTAACAACTTCAGCTCCTTCCTCAGCAACAAAACCCACCTTATTCTTCCCTGAATCTACACTCTTACCATAAGCCAGAATATTTCTAGCCACGCATCTTGATCCTTTTCTTTTGTAAATCCTCTTATATTTGTTGCCAGGACTTCCCCAACAAGACCATCCTTCATCTGAGAGAAAACCTTTGTAACATGGACAACATGTGATCTATTCGCACTCTTTGTCTTCGTCAAAGGCACCACACCTACACCAGACACATCCATCATTGCCTCTTTCCTTCATGGACCAAGATCAACCTCAACCCTTCTAACAATCACTTCAACAATTGGTTCAGAGTCAGTTTTGCCCCCATCTTCCTCATTGGAATCCCTCAACCAAGTTTTCAGGGAAACTGGCTCAGACCTAACCTCTGCCACTCATGAAATTGTCTTTTCGCAAACCTCCAGCTCACAAAAATCCATTATCAGTGGAACTCCTGATTGAATTATCCTCTATTAAGAAAGAAACCGAACTAGAAAGACATGGTTCTCGTACCTGCAACACTGTTCCTGTCATGCTTATAGATTGTTATCCGGTTTGCGGGGGTAGAATATGCACAAATGCATTTTTCTTTATCAGTAAAGAATGAGAAAATTTATTGAAATTTACAACTTCGGGAAACCATTAAACCAATCAGCAGTAGATTACAATTTTGCTCTGAAAAAAAATTGGTCTTTCAACTTCCTGCTTTGCTAAAATATCTGTCATTTCATTTGTTGTTCTCCTTATCCACCTAATAGGAAAGATGATCCTTCTTGCAAGGGAGTCTATTTTCCTGAAAGTATGTTTATAGAACCAAGGAACAGAATTGACTTGCTGAGTCCATGAGATTACTAGCTGTGAGTCCCCTTCTACTTCCAATTCTGTGACACCCAGCTGTTCTGCCAATCTTAAGCCTTGTAATATGACCCAAATTTCAGCCTTTACTGATTCCCTGACACCAATTCGACCTGTATACAGAGCTACCACTTCTCCTTGGTAATTTCTAGTAGAAAGCCTTATGTGCTGATTTCGGCCAAGCTTCTTGTGAAAGGAAGAGGAGAAAGTTGGGGGTTTCAGCAATAGACAGAGGAAAGGGAAGAAAAGGAGAAGAAGGTCGACTAGGATAGTGATACATAACCCTAGCCGCCAGCCCCTCATTCTATTTATAATTAACTTAAATATGGGATATTACAAAGATGCCTCTAGT